CACCACAGTATGGACTTCACATGGCTGTGTCAGGTCATGGCTGATAGCACAGGAACCTGGAAGGTTTTGGTGCTCACTGTCTATGTGAAGTTACTCCATCTGAGAGGTCTGAATCATCAAAATGACTTAGGAAATCCCAGTCTGAGCGTCATTGCCACCTGTATGAATTTATTTCAATGGAATATTCAAAATGGGAGTTAAAGACACAGTGGTATTGAAACAGGGACCTGAGGTTCCAGAGAAGTAAGGTGCATGCTTCTTGGAGGACAGGTGCCCCCTTTTGCCATTTTGTCTTTTGTCTTTGTAAAAAGGCCATCAACATTTTCACAACATATACAAAGGACTTTGAATCTCGCTTTGTACAAGAATGCTGTAGGGTGAATTGAAGATGTGTAGCTCTCCATAAAGTGCAGGATCCTAACTTCAACTTTTACAGGACAGTTTGAGAGCTTAAGGTTAAGAATCTGTTCAAATGTTTTTCTAGGTGTGTCCTCACACCATGATAAAAAGATGGCACATGTAAACCTCTTTTCAGTTACAATCCAAGGGGTTAAGGACTACAGCAAACCCATCCATAGGTGTAATGCAGACTCCAGACTTCCCTTTCTCTGGGGTAATTTTCCCTTCAGATTTCATCCCCTGGTGATCCCAAAGGCCAGCTGCCACAACCCTCTGCTCTTTAAGATTCACAGGGGATGTGGTATCTCCCACAGTTTCTCAGCTTCAAGCTGTTGTGAACTTCTCTAAGTGAGGCACAAGGACAACTTAACCACTCTTTTTGAGAGACTTAGTGGCCAAAAACTAAACTGCTTTGAAAGCAGAACCAATGAGTGAACAGGAACACCATGGGAGTGTACTAATCCCCCAAGTCTATAATAAACAGATAAAGTTAGTAAGATTCAATTAAGAGAGAACAGCCCCATTAATGTTTTAAGAGCACTGTCTAAACATTACACACATTATTTACCGAGTTCCCAAGCTGAATTCTCTGTACACAGGAACACTCCAAATTCATTATCTTTGGATGCAAAGCTTAGTAAATTCAACGGTAATTAATCTCCATTTACCCTCTGTGTGTGTTTCTGAACAGATGAAAAGTTCATTGAAAAAGTTCTTTCAGCCAGTCTGAAAGAAAAGCAGTGCTTTGATAAACAAAAAGGCACCAAACACAGGCCTCTCAAAGGGAAACAGAACAGCTAGCCAGTTTCTGTGTGGTTCAAGCCAGGTGCTCATTGCAAATTCAGTAGCATGCACTGGCAAGTGTCAACAGCAGAGGAACTGAAATGACTGAAATTCTTATGCCAGTGTAATTTGCTGAAGGCAATGAACTGAGGGTTAAGGCAAATTGTGCATGTGTTGAGGATTATGAAACAAATTAAAATGGAGGCTAACAAAAGGAGTGCAATATTTATGCATTTCTTCATGCTTTTCAGTCCGTGGTACTCAATCAACTTCATAGGCTCTTAAGGTGGCATGGGAACACTGCTATTATGTACATTCATTTGCTCCTGAAAAGGGAGCTCAGGTGTAGCAGGCTACAGAATGCAGCTGATTCTGGCAATATTTATCAATATCACTGTTAACCCACCAAATATTTACAGCACACAATTACTTCTAGTCATGTGACATTTAAGCAACACCAAAAATGCAGGGAGTTTTCTGTTCAATGCATTCCATTTAACTGTTTCAATGTTGATATGCCAGCCCATTTTACCATGTATTCCTCCACTTTCCCTTAAATTCCTGCATCCATGGATCCCAGATATACAAAAGTATAAATGCATTAATCACCCATGACTTACTGCAGTGGAGTCTATTACATGGTGTAATGCACTTAATGTTTGATACCTAATTTACTTCAACTTTCTAAGTTATTAAGCACCCCACTGTATGATCACCCAGCACGGCCCAGTAACCAAATAGGTTATCACTTTGTGGAATGGGAAACAAGTCCCCTGTGAAATATGCTTTTAGTTATGTATTCCCAGCCCTCTGCTGGCAAGACCTGCCATGGAGCTGAATGGAGATGTAAGGACATGTGCCCATGTCTCTGCCCTGCATGTGCATGTGCCCATGTCCAGCCCTTCTGCACCATAAATTGGGGTTTTGAAACCAAGATGTGCCCACTTGTCCCTTTTCCAGTGCTGATGTGGGGTGGAAACCTCTACAAGCAAAGGGGACCAAAGAGGTGACAGGAATTGTATTTTCAGTTGCCACCACAATATTCACCCAAGACCAGCAGGGAGTTGGACCTTCTTTTAATTACAGAGACCTTTGCATGTTTGGCTATGAGAGGCAGAGGCATGTTGTCCTCACCCTTTGGTGACAGACTGTCAGAGGTGTCTGCAAGAGTCAACCCCTACTCCTACCCAAGGAAACAAAACAAACTGGGTGGTTTTTCATTTTCTGTCTACATTTGAGCAGACTGAATACCACTACCTGAGACACTAAAGATAAAACAGAGAGTTTATTTACATTTCACTTTAACGTGGAGATATTTTCACACTGGTTAAAGTCTTGGAGTTCACAGATGCTCCAGGCTCACTCCAAGCAGCGCTGCCAGAGATGACCAGGAGCCCACCATCCTTCATCTCACCATACAAACCAAAGGGCAAAAAAACTTCCAACTAGCCTCCAACAGTTGCAGCCTAAGTGTAAAACAAGTGACAACAGATGGGATCAGACAGACGGGGGAGGAGAGGGGGAAAGATGAGGTAATATTAAGGAGTGTGACAGGCAGGGGTCTCAGTACATCGGCAGCCTTGCTGTTGTCAAGCGTTTTTTTTTGTAGGCATCACATATTAAGGTTGTATTTGGAGAATTATAGATTTTACACTTGATTTTCTGGCAGGGAAACAGGGAGCTGCTGCCAGCTACGAGGCATCTTAGAAATGAGATTAGTTTTCGAACCTATTCAAGTGATCTTCTCATTGTTACTTCTTTGTAAGGACCAAAGCCTGATCTTAATTACACAAAGTTTATTTGAATATCTCCATCAACTGCCATGGAGCTACTCCAGATTAACACAAACGTAACATCAATGTCAGGACCTGGATTTTCAAGAGAAGCATGACAGTTTCACATCATTGCAATCAATGGTTGAAAAGTCGCATTGCTTTGGCTTAAAAATACTTTCCCATACACAAAGGAGGTCAGAATCTGCACCATTCTTTGGTATTAGAATAGATTGGGATCCAAAGGATCAAGTTTATATATGCAGATTCTTCTACAGCATGAATAAATAATGCAATAGTGGTAATTGAGGTTACACTTTATGAACAGCATTATTAGGATTTACATTCTATATGAAGCAAGTCAGATGAACAAATATAATACCCAGCCCCGGTCCACTTCCCTTACTCTGTCATTTCTACAGCTGCCCGCATGCTGCAGGTGCTGATAGTACACACGTCTGACTGTAATCCACGCGTCAGCCTGATAGCACACCAGTTCTGGGAGAGACTGCCTCCAGCAATCATTTCAAGCCTGGTTAAAGCAGCAGAATGGAATCATCAACTCAAATGTTGAAAGTTACATGTTCTAATAATGGAAATGAGATCTGTTAGGCAGTTTTTCTGTTTCCTATTCTTTGACTGAAAAAAAAAATAAATGAGAAATGCCTTACAAAGACTAACACTAATGTATGTATCCCTCAGTAATGAGAGGTATGAATGGCTGGGTCTATAACCCCTTATAAATCTTTCATTCTACAAACTGCCCGTTAGCATTATTCTTGGTAATGGAGATCTATATGAAGTTGGTTGGTCCTTTTTTTAATCCCCAATTTACTAAGCAAGACAAAAAAGAGCTGAATTACAGTGGAAAAAAATTACTCCCCTGGAGAATTACAGTAGAGCCACTTGCTGACAAATTGTTATTATTTAAATCACTTGTCTAGCTTTTAATATTGAAAATACTTTCAATCACTGAAAAGTCTTTAATTTAGGATAGTGGATGGCAGGGATATCATAGAGGAGACCAGACTAGCTCATCTGCCTCAGCACAAGGACTGGACCAGACGATTTCTCAGGATTTTTTTTTAGTCTGGCATTTATATGAAACAACTCTGGTGTGACTACACCTTCCAAACTGCATGTAAGACATATGATGATACCCTGTTGCCAGCAAGAATTGTCACTGAATTCCAGCTCTCCCAGTCCTGAGACACAATAGCACAGGGTTGGATTGCATGTGGGGATGGACCGAAATCAGAAAGATTTACCCCAGGCAGTTACCACATAGGATGGAGGCAGGGGCTAAATAAATAAAATACAATCAGGATTCAGTCTATCCCCAGGACCACACAGCTATAATAGCGCAGAAGGTGATTTTACAAACCAAACCATCACTGTATTTGTGTCTGGCTTTTCCCTCCTGGAATTCAAGTTTCTTTAATACCAAGAATTAATGGCAAGCATTTAAAGAGAGTTGAGAGCACAAGAAAGCAGCAGACAAGTGCAGCAATTCCTTAGGTCTGCCCACTCACTTTCTCTTTTACAGCTTTGGGTCCACATCAAGAGGTCTCCCACCCAGGCAGGGTGCTGAGGCACAAAATTACCCTCTTTGCTTGTCCAGGCATCCCTTGCTGGTGAACACCCTGTACTGGGGTAGCCCACCTACAGTATCCCTCTCCGCCCCGCAGGTAGCTTTCCGGTACAGCTCCCTGGGGATCACGCACAGGCACACAGACACAATGAGAGCCTCCGACTGGAAATTCAAACAAAAATATGGCTGTCTACTCCAAAAGGCAAACTCATTTACAAAGGTCATCTCTGTTGAGGAAGAGTGATGGGTTACTCCCCTCTTGGAGGTGACTGCTGTCGCTCCTCCGCCGAGTTACATTCACAAGCATAGTTTTGAAACAGAAGAAAGAAAAAAAGAGAGAGAAAAGAAAAGAGACAAAAGCTCGGCAAGCCCCCTATTCACAGAGCTAGCCCCATATCTCTCCTTCCCCTCCTCGGGTAAAACCAGCTTCAAATGACATTAACATCTTCCCCTACCTTCGTTCTCATCGGAGACAGAAGCCCTTCCATTTTGCTCCGATCCTCATGCCAATCCTCGTGCCCCAACTTAGTCTCTCACCCCTGTCTCAAGCATCCCACACGAACAAGAGCATGTCAGGGACCGCCAGCAACACCCTCACGGAAGCTCGGCCAGCAGCCAACCTGCCAACTTGCAATCCTCAGTTACGTGGAGCACCGTTCCTGGAGGGAGAGACCTTCCTCCCTCTCCCTCCTCTCTCTCTCTCTCTGCATAATCTGCCTGCAGCTATGTTTGTACCATCGCGGCTGACAAACGATCCCTGCCTTACGTAATGCATTCAGCACAGGACAAGCGATCCCAGCCCAGCCGCGGGGATCCGGTCGGCAGCAGTGATGGGAAGGTGTGGGACTTTGCCCTGCCTATTGTGCCGCTGGGTTTAATCTGGCAACATCCCCCCACGCGGGGCTGGCGCTCACTGGCTCTCTGTGCTAGCTAAGAAAGCCCTGAGAAAACTTCGTCATCATAGGAAGATTGTGGATTCCCTGGGATTGACTTAAAGAGGGGTAATCCTGATCCCAGGCTTTGGTTTTCCCCACTCGGGAAACACCAACTGTTGGAGCATTTTCTGCAGGGCGGGTTCGCTGTCAGCGAGTGACTGAACCCAGCCTTGAAAGGGAGTTCCTGTCAATTGTCAGCCAGGAATTGAGAGAGAGAAAGGAAGAAAAGAGAGTGAAACAAAAGGAATGTAGTCCTGCAAAGTTGGTCAGCAAAAGATACCCGCTGGATGTGTTTCTATTAGCATTTTAATTCAGATCAGAAAACGCTTTTGTGGAAAATTCCCTAATTGCTCCCATTTTCCTCATTTGGTTTTGCATCAGGGTGATGCTGGTATTGAATCTCTTTAAGAGAAAAATACAACAGGAAAATAGGCTTCAGACCTGCAAACACAGCAGCGTTTGGTCCACAGGGTGAGAGCAGATCAGTGCAAACCCCTCTGAAATACCATCCAGTGAACACCAGCTGCCAATCACTGCTCCAAAGGTCACTGGTTTCTCCTGGGGCCACCCTTTTTCTATTAAGAAACAGCCACAAATAAGGCTCCCCTTCCCCTGCCCAGGGGATAACCTTCCACATACCAATACCCAACTTCTGTCCAAAGATCAAATTAAAAACCCTGTTACACCACCAGAACCTGATTTGCAGCGTTAGAAAATCGCTGTCAGGCTGGTTGGAGCACACCACAGGTGGAAATTTCTAACGCCCTTTAACATCAGCTCTTCTTTGATGCCCCAAAGCTACACACTCAGGCAGAGTCACAGTCTGAATAAGGCACTGAGCTGGGACATGGTTAAACTGCCGAAATTGCCACATGTTCCCTGGATGACCACGAGGATTCACCTCATTTAGCTTTCATCTGCAGAAACTCTGCCCTCTGGTCCGAGACACCCACTAAGGCTCCTGCAAAGCCAGTGAGAGAGACAGGCTCCTTCCCAAAGTGATTCACCCCAAATGTCCAAAGCCAAAGAGAATCTTGTCCTCAGGTCCTCTGTGGCTCCTTACTTCTCCATGCTGTGGTTTCATGCTTTGGCTGCTCAGGCCAGGAAACATCTCTGCCTATGTGCATCCTTTATGTACATGTACACCTCTGCCCATGTAGCTCCTGGATAGCTACACTGAGATGGAGGAGGTAAGAGGGAATATGTTCATGGTGGTGTATGAGGATGCACGGTGCAAAGCCTGGGATGAACCCAGGGATAGGCATGACTCCTGCCCTGGCAAGCCTCAGCAAGTGACACAGATGAGGGTGTTCAATTCCACACATCCCTTTTCCCCTCTATCTCTCCTGATCCTTTCAACCCTGTAGATAATGCAGTTTTAGGGCATTTTTCCTTTTATTTCTAATGGGGTGAAAACAGGGAGGGGAGGTGCCCCCTACAGTATTTAATATTAATTTCAAAGCTAATTAACTGTTCTCAGTCAAACTCAGGCCCTTATTAAATGTGAACAAATCTGATCATATCATATTGAAGGCAGAGATAGGTTTTCCAGAGCTAAAGAGGCACTGTACAATGCTGACAACCTCATCTCTTTCTTCTTGGGTGTATAGAAATATGCTTTGTTGCTGGTATTTGCAAGACTTTAATAAGACCTTGAATAAATGGCAGCAGGAATTCCAGGTTCCAGCAAAACATGACTGTTTTTATTTTTCTGCTCTACAACGTCATGTCAGACTCTGATGTGAAGTTTACACATCTGTGCATCTGTAAAACATCGTCTCCATACCATCCAGGGAATTTGACTTTACAAAGTATTAAGGGGAACCCAAAGAGACATGAGCATTTGGGAATTTTGGAGATCTCAGGCCACGTGGTCAAGCTCTGATGCAACATGATAATGTGGGTGGCGCACTCAAGGTAGTATAGGAAAACCCAATTCTCTTTTAAATGTCGGTTCTGCTTTGAACTAGGATAAACCATGGCATCATGAGGTTTCCTGTGTTATCTCTTGTTTACAAGTGAAAGAAAAAAAAGTAGTTTTCCTAAAGGCCAAAAGACTAATTTAGTCTGGGACCAGAAAAGCAAGCCAAGGCCTTTCCGGTTCAGCAGCACTCAAAGCCTCTCTGATGTGAACGGACTAGGGAATTGTGCTGATACTGCATGAGTCAGAGCAGAGCCCAGCTCAGCAGGATGAGCAGGGAAAGAGGATGGTGCTGTCTGAGCAGCACCCGTGCTTGTGAGCCGGCAGCAAGCCTGGCTTGGGAGCACAGGCTGCGACCCCCAGCTGCATCCCAGAGGATGCTCTGGGCCCCTGGGTCTGTTATGAGCCCCTGCATATCATTACTGTGAACCACAGCTAAAGTGGTGCGTGACAGAGAGGTCTGTCCACATTTGCAGTCACCAGCAGGGACAGAAAACCCAACTGGCTTTGCCTGGGCAAATTTCAGCGTGGTTGAAAGTGTTGGGGCTGACAATGTCCAGAAATTGTGAGAGATGGAGCAGCAGTGGATGGATGGGGATTGTGTTTCACACAACATCCTCCCCTCAATCTCCAGGTAGGACTTGAGCTCTACTTGTATCTAGGCATATACTCTGCTTTAGCCTATGCAGCCACCAACCTGTCCTGCATGTGCTGCAGGAGCAGGATAGCCACCTTCTGCATGCGTTCAGCCTGTTTGCAAAGTCCTTTCACAGCAGAGCAACAACTTTACAACTGTGAGGGCCAGAGAAGTTTATTCTCATTTCAAAATGAAAGTTTAAGTTGCTATAGCCAGGAGAGCGGTGCCACAATACTGTGTCCCATGGTCTGACACCTTGCTCCTCCCCAAGGCTGCAACTCATGGCATTGCTCACATTACCACAGACTTGTTCAACAGCCTCCACTCCTGCGATTTTCAGATCAAAGGCACTACAGAGGCAAAAGGAGCATGTGAACACTTGCTTTATCATTCTCTTTCTGGGGAGGGGAGCAGCATTTGACTCAGAGCTTGGTCAGCTACACCCAGCATATCTCAGGTTCTTTATCTGGAGAAGAGGGGACCCACTTGGCTGTTACTCAGAGATGTTGCAGAGGTTCATCCGGTCCTGGATTCAACCCTTCTCATCTTACAAGTGTTTAACCTGGGAATATAATTACTCTTGGCTCCTTAACTAATCATGGGAGCAAGATAGATACCTTGAAACCCCTTGTATTGTCATAATCTAACTATCTGCTTGATCTAGACAGAGGATGAAGGTAGATGTCTTTCTGGAGCCAGGCAGATCTTACCTGGATTCAGTCTTATAGCTGAATATCTTTCTAGGTTCTGCTGACTGCATTGACAGCCTTCCATGGACCAGAATGAGAGCAAAGACATCTGCTAATATTTAGCCAAGTAGATGTAAATGGCCAAATTTAGGTGACTGACTCTGGAGCTGAATCTAGTAGTGAGGAAAATGGCCCAAAAAAGCCTTATGTTCACTGTTGGCTATTGGCTGAGTGTCCTAGAAGCAGCCAGACAATATGGTATATATTTGAACTCTCAGCTTTCCTCTTATTTACTCAATGTGGGCGCATCCAAGCTGATACAAAACTTCTTTAAACCAAAACCTTTCCTAAACTCTGAGGTGGGGATCCCAATGCAGAGCCAAGTTGTGCCGCCTGTACCAGTCCTGGAAAGTGGAGGAAGTCTGTATTTGGACTCAGTCTCCATTTTCCCTCTGCTGCAAAGGGCTGCCACCACTTCCTGCATGCGTACCCCTGAGCTGCTGGTGGCCAGGACAATGGGATGGGTGCTGATGCAGCCTGGCTGTATCATGAATGCACGCCACTGGCCAACCTCGCAACTGGTCATCTCATCCAGCAAACAAAAGGTAGCATCACAGTGTTGCCATGGCGATATCCCTCCATCCGGATGGCTATGGCATCATATAAAGGAGAGGGAAACATCCCAGTCACATACCGGAGCTGGCTGAAATGTATCTTATATTTAGAACAGGCATCATGGGGAATACTAATGAATATTTAACACCCGGAGCGCCCTTCCTGCTTGCTTTTTTTATTTTTGTTGCATACTTTCCATAAACACAACATTTACCTCCTAATGGCTTGAATAATATTGGTGCTGCTCTTCCCTTGTCACTGCTCCTCCACGTTTCCCCTTGCTTTTCACTTCCCTTGTGTGAACGAAAGTGGAAACCAGCGCACAGCCCTCACAAAGGTAGCCTTTGCAAATCAGGACTGATGCCTCCAGCAGGTCAGGGTGTTGAGGAGGGAACTGGGATATTTGTGTGTTCCAGTCTCCCAGCCTGGCTGTGCTGTGTTTAGGTTGTGGTTTTTACTACAAGTCTACTGACAGGATAACAAAGACAAAGTTTTCATGGGCTACCTGAAAATGAGCAAGATTTGCTTATGTATGTCCTACAAGAACCAGCCCATATTAGAGCCTTTTTAAAATTATTATTATTTTTTTTCTCTTTAAACAAATATCTGTGTTGTGGATAAAAATAAGCTTAATTTTGTTTCACTCATCCAGGAAAAACACACACTAGAAAATGTCCTGAAATTACTTTCATGCATTGTGCTGATGGCTGGGTGAATCCTTTCAGGGATGGCACTACCTCTCCAGTCTTCTTTTCAGCTACAGATTAAGTTATAAACAGGGTTAAAAACGTGGTATTTCAGATCTAGTTCTGAAGTCACCTCCTGGCATATATAAAGCTTTATTCTTAGAAAGGCCATATTCTCAGCAGTGATTTTGAGAGTGAAATGTATGGTTTTTACTCAACACTGGCAGAGCACTGGGGTCTTTTTTTGATCCTAGAAGCCCTGCAAAAACTGCTGGGTTCCTGAAGGCTTATCTATATGCTTCCTGCTTGGTACCACTCCAAGGCACCAAGGATACAGGCACAATTCAGCTGGCAGCTTTGTCAGTGATGCAAGGGGAGGAACTGTGCTGTACTGGGTGTGTTGCTTTGGCAGCACTGAGAAACTGGAGCTATGTTTATTTGTTGCTGGTGTAGGGTGTATTTACAAAATGGTGAAGGGTTTTTATCTCCAAGATTGCTGGTGCAGT